GGATTTTTTAGGAGCATCCGTAGTTCTACATTATAAGGTAGCATCCTTATATAAATTTTTTCCTTCAGTAAATTTGTAAAAGAATAGTAGGTTGTTGTTTTTCTGCATTGGTTCAAATAAACAATTTCGTCTTGCAGGGCCACCACACATTTTACGTAAAAGAAGAAAAGGAGAGTGCCTTTTGGCACCGACCTCGTGGGAGCGGGCACCTCTGTTGACTGTTGACGCAGAGTCCATCAACCGGTCAGCGCCCGGTTCACGAGCCGGGGGCTCATAATGAAGGCGTGCGCCGCGTCATAATATTACGATTGGCGCCAGGCACTTGAACCCACATATCATATGGCGAGCGACCGCGTTGTCTTTCAGCTTAAAAAATGACCCAAATACCTTTATGTCCTTTTATTTTTTTCTCATGTTACCCTTACGAAGTTGCAAAAAAAATTAAAGGAAAATTTTCCCATACCCCAGATTTTGAAACCTATTTATCGGGATACCCAATATTTCAGAATTTTTCTTCCACCATTAGGTTCTAATCTTCGGTATCTTCCAACCCTTGGATTCAAATAATTCTATTTGACTACATATTATAGACTTATATAAATAATAAAATGACACATCGTTAGCAAGTCGAAAAATATCAATATATCGACTCACCATAAAATTGTTTTGAAACTCAATATCTAAATTGCTTTTATCTAAAGCATAAAATTTAGAATGAGAAAATCCTCTTAAGTATTGTCTTATTCCCGAGTAACTTGGTGAAAATTAAGAGGAATGTGAGATAGGAGGTTGATAGAGGATCTTTTATTAATTTCCAAAACCACAAATGGCTTGGACCAATTCTTCAAAAAATACAGTATAGGGAGCTATTTTAAAAAAAACACTGGTCAATTTCTCAAGGTGGAAGATGTTTACTATTGGTCTCCGGATAGGATCACTTGGGATATTCAATTCATATATAATAGAGTATTGGATAGAGTGCTCACTCAATTTTGTAATCTTATGACTGATTTGGTGTCAATATATATTTCTAGGAGTCATGATGATGAGGTTGTGTGGGAATTGACTAATGATGAGGATTTTTTTAGTGAAATCTATATATTCTTTGCTATTCCATGATAAAGCTAGATAAGAGCAGCCTAATCTTAAATATATATGGAAATTACGTGTTCCTCATAAAATTCAGTTTTTCATATAGACTTTGTGTTAAATATAGACTTTATGTTAAAATAAAGTATTGATAGTGGATAATTTGAAAAGAATGGAAAAACTTATTGTTAATTGCTCCATCTTATACAAAAAGAATGAGGAGAAAGGTGATCATTTATTTCTCCATTATTGTTTTACTTGTTCAATTTGGATGTGGGCATTACAATTAATTGGTTTCTTGCTACCTCTTCTTAAAAAGCATATATGTATTATGGACCAACTCTCTATTCCTTCTATCTCAAAATTAGGTGTCCTGATTTGACAGATTTTAAGTGCTTCGATTCTATAGGAGGTTTGGCTTGAGAGGAATAAAGTTGTTTTTTATGGAGGTGTCTAGAGGTAGTTCAAGTCCAAGAGAAGGTGGTTTAAAATGTGTGCCTTTGGTTATCCAATACTAAAGAAGGCTTTGGTGTTTCTAGGATTGATATATTCCTAAACCTTCGTAACTTGATGCATCACCATGTACATCAACCCATTTTATATAGAGTTTGGTCTCCTCGACTCTTCCTAGTGTTGGTTGTATGAAGCTGAACTTTGATAGTAATTCTCATGGGAACCCATGACTTGCATAATGTGGTGGGGTTGTAAGAGACCCATTGGGCTTGGAGATTTTTTTCTTTTATGGTTTTTGTGGGACAGTTATAGCTAACCAAGCTGAGATGATGGCAATTTTGCATATTCTTAAGTTGTTGAAAGAACGGTAAACTTTGGATGGTTGGTGAAAAGGGACTCTCTTAATGTCATCAATTGATGCTCTGGGTTAAATAAGCCTCCATGAAATTTAAGAAAAATTTGGTTTCAAGTGTAAGATTTATGTCAAGGAAATTGAGGCACGATAATATAGCATGGCTATAAAATAAATTTATCATGATAATATGAGCCTCCCCGATATTATCCCAATAATAACCTTAGACGACAATAATAAACAGTCTTTTGAAGACTAAATTTGAGAGGGAGAGGGGGGAACTCAAATGAGAGAGACCTTTTAAATTAGTAACATATTTACCTAAAAAGCAGCAAAACTCTTTCATTTTATTATTTTTGAATGTTAAATTTAGAAAAACCTCAAATACATCTTCGGATTGAAAATTCTAAAAACTAATCCTCATTGCCTAAGAAATACCTACAATTTGGCATCTAAATTTTGACTTTTGAAAGAGGTTTACAGCCCTCAAAAGTGGGAAATAAGCATACAATTTAAAATTAACTTTTGAAAGAGGTTTACACTCTCAAAAGTAGGAAATAAAGCATAAATTTTTTCAAAAAAATGAGAGATCATTTCACTGAATATAAGGGATATTTATGATAATTTCCATGACCATTTTCTTTAGATGCAACAAATAGTTACCCTACAATTCCATATAAGCTTTTACATGTGATTTTGCCAAAGTTTCCACAATTTTAGATTAAAAAAAAAAAAAGGGTCCATAAAAGACTGAGAATGATCTCTAAAAAACATGCAAGAATCTCTCTCCAACATTGTTCTCACCATTCACTCATATTTTCAAGGAAGAAACATAATCCTTGCTTTTTTAAAAAGAATTATATCTAATAATCATAGTTTCCCCCTCTTTAAACAGCACAAACAATCATAAAGAGCGGTGTTCATCTTTTTTGACAATAAATCATAAAGAACGATGTTCATCACTCTGATAAAAAAGTACCTCGAAAATATAACAATGAAAGGACTAGCATTCAAGTGAAATTACTCCCCCATTTATTTTTAAAGTACGGCTCTATTTAACTTAGGGGCTGAAAGCACATCCGTGTGGTCTGAGTAAGGCCGACGCCGTAAACAATCAAAGTAGGCACACCTTCAAATAGTGCTGAAATATGTTATTTCTCTATCAAAAATTTTTATCATGGTTTGAAAATTTATTTATTATAAATTTTAAAGCATAAAAAATAGTATAGATCGAGAATATTTATGAACATTTGAAAATCTTGAAAATTAACCGTTCAAACAACGTATTACAAAATGGATTGTTTTTAAGACTTAAAATCAATTTTTTATTATGTATATAGGTCGAGAGGATTAATTTGAGTGTTTTTTTAGTACACCAAAACAACATCTTCCAAAAAAAAAAAAATTGACACTTGCTTTAATTTGATTGTTTAGAGCTTGACCTTCTTTCAAAAACATGGCTTCTCATAAAAGAGATGAGGACATAACTGATATTTGAAGCGAATCCTTGGGCTTCTCTGTTTTGTGCCGCTACTCTCTGCTAAATAAGGCGTGGTGGCGAAGTCGCGTTTTATAGTCCCCCTCTCTTTACTTACACGTCACCCACACGTCCAAACTCACGCACGCTCACCGACTCAAAAATATTTTCTTTTTCTTTTTTTTTGGGTGTCAAAATATCGACGGTATCTAATTTCATTTTGACACCATCGTCACGCTATAACATCTGGTCTTTTCCCGTATCATGGCCTGTTCGTTTCAGTGACTCCGTTCTTATTTCTTTGAGTGAAAGAGAGTGCAAGATTCGGAGCTTTGAAGGTGGAGAACTGATAAAGTGGTCGGGTATAAACCCTAACTGAACCAGATTTTAGAGTTTTTTTTAACAAAAATCAGCTACATCAGGGCTTTAATGGCGTTATTCTGTCGTGTTTTTTTAGACATTCAAGCGATTTTGAAGCATTTAGGGAAATCGCGTGGAGGGGTGATTTCGAGGCATTAGGGGAATCGCCTGGAGGAGTGATTTTGAGGCAGTTAGGGGAATCGTCTGGAGGAGTGAGTTGCGAGAGAATTAAGTGCGTTGTTTCCCTGTTCTGTGACCGTTTTCTGCAATATAACGGTGGAAAGGCCTAAAGTTAGTGGATCGGTGTTGATTAAATCGATATGGCGTGGAGCCTCTGAGGGGCTTGTTTTATTCCTGTTAAATTAAAGGAAAGGCGTTTTTAGTGCTTTATGTCCGTTTCCTGGAAGGAAAGGCGTTTTTACTGCTTTATGTCCGTTTCCTGGAAGCTTCTAGCCTAATTGCGTGTCCTAAAAGTCAAAACGGGGGCAAGTAACGGCCGTGAGCCGACGTCCAGAAAGGCTAAAGCAAGATTCGGTTTGGCTTTTAGGGCACCATAACGCCGTTAACTCTGCAAGGTACTGAAGAGGATTAGCATTCGTCCGTCTCTCTCTAAACTTTATTCTTTTAGATATAGAAAATGTGAAAGTTTGGTCTTTTCCTTTGTGAATTTCATCTGTGCGATTTGGAATCCGGTGGAGAGAAGGCAACGATAAACATAGATAAAATAAACTTTGTGGAGGTTGTGGTGGGTGAGTGATTTATATTTTTATTATACCGTTCAAGAGGTTTTCTCTTACAATGTGAACATTCCTGAAATATTTGGTATTTATTTTTCCCTTTATGATTTCTATATCAGAGTGGTTTGATTTATCAATCTTTTTGTAATTTATTTTATTTTGAATTTCATTATTAATTCCTTCTCTTTTCATGAAGAAATTGACACACTTTATCATTTTCTCTGATGTCCTTCACAAGATCACGGGAAACCTCTGTTTTGCTTTTGGCAATTGTTCTTCATATTTTCCTCTCTTTTTTCAAATTTTATTTCAGTTTTGACGAGGAAAACAAGAAGTTCTTTTATTCTAATTTATTGTTTTGTGGATAAGTTATGTTTTTATAATTAGGTCAGTTTTGGAGGAAGAGAAAAGCCATTGTTTAAGTGAGAGGTTTCTTTGAATTTTTTCTTATAAATTTCTAAGTATGAAGGGAAGTGCAGGTGCGCCTCATAGAGTCTCTCTCTCTTGATTCTTAACGTTAAGTTGGGGCTTCCGGAGGTGATTTTTGAATAAAACCCTGAACAGTCTCTTTCCTTTTTTAGTTGATTTTTGCATAAAACCCTGAACAGTCTCTTCCTTTTTTTAGTGAACTTCTATGAATTATTTCATCTCTGTTTGGTCCTGTAATTTTTCTTAGGTAATTATTCAATTGGAAACTCTAAAGAAATATATACTCAATCTCCTTGTTTCTCATACAACTTCCATTATTCTCTGTAACCGTTTTGAAATCTCAGTAACGGGATCCTTCATCGAAGCAGGCTCACTTCGTTCCTGTTATCCTTCTCTCACATTTTCTTCTCCACTACTTTCCTTTTATTTTCATGGAAAAATTAGTGGATTTTCGTTTCGTAACTTTTGTTAGTCGTGACTTAGTCCACAAAGCGTGTTTCCCGCATGTATCTCGGTCGTGGGTGTGCTAGCCACTTATATACGTGGACCAAACTGCTTATTTATTTCTCTCTATTTATGTTTCCTTTTGCTTTCTGGATTTTGATTGCCTCTAAATGTTGTCTAAGTCTTACACGTGTTGATTGGATAGACTTCTTCCCATATCCCTAATTTTTCTAACTGATACTGGAAAAGCTTGTTTAAGATGCCGTTCAACTCTTTAAGACCTTGTGGTAAAGAAAAATTAGGGTTTCTAATGGGAGTCATCAGTCTCTGATACCGTGCTTCTTTCTGGTGTGAGTCACTCGGTATAAAACCTGTTTATATAGTAGCTTCCATGAGTAGTAATTTTGTATCTTTATTTCTGTATATTGTGTTAGAGAACCCTTAAACCAGGCTATTTCTGCTTATGGGCGCCGAGTCACAACTTTCCCTTCCATTTTTGCAGTTCTGCTTTTTATTCTGGAAAACCGAGAGCTTCAGATGTTTTATGCTTTAGATTGTTCATTTATTATGTGGGTTTTTTTTGCTTTAGATTGTTCATTTATTATGTGGGGTTTTTTGGGACAATTACTCGGGTGTATCGTTCTAGCCAGGAAATGACCTTTGTCTTTCATTTTTTGTTTGGGCAGCTAGAAGGGCATGGAGTTGTGGGTTGATTAAGACTACCAAAGTAAACTGAAGGAGGGACTCTGATTTCCATTGGTAAAAGTCAAGCTTATCCTTTGATCCCCACCATTTTCCCTGCCTTCATTTTCACCGGTCATGGGGTCAAAAACTAGACCTGCTGGGTTGATTTCAAGTCTCTCTAAACTGCCTCTAATCCCTCAGAATTGAGGATCATTGCTGTAGCGACCTAGATCTTTGATTCTCTCTAATATATGTGCCATCTTGGAGCTCATCATTTCAGTTTCCCATCTGCTTTTGCACATTTTACTGTATAAATGTCTTTCCGAAGTATAGTTCGTGATGTTAGAGATGGGTTCGGGAGCTTGTCAAGGAGGAGTTTCGATTGGAGGCTCGCGAGCTTCCATAAGGGGAAAGCTCGTGGAGCTGTGCATGAGCTTCAGACTGAGTCGGAGACAATTCAACAAAGCCCTTGGGCCAACCTACCACCTGAGTTACTTCGAGATGTGATAAACAGGTTAGAGGCAAGCGAGAGCGCATGGCCTGCTCGTAAGCATGTGGTGGCCTGTGCTGCAGTTTGCAAGTCTTGGAGGGCGATGTGCAAAGAAATCGTTAAAACTCTGGAGGTGTGTGGGAAACTCACGTTTCCCATTTCTCTCAAGCAGGTTAGGATTCCTTCCCATAGAGAAAAAGAGTTCCCTTAAGACATATACTGTTAAAATATTTATTATTTGGGTTTTAGTTGAACTATAAAATTGTTATTGCAGTTAAAGTTCATAATTTTTTGTTCATGTTCACTATTTTATGCTACTCAATCTGGTTTCTTTTAGTCTTTTCCTGACTTCACAAAAGATAGCTCTTTATTCCATCTTTCGTAGACTAGATGGCATCTGCTAGGCACTATCACATAGCAAAATCTACCTTGCACAGCTGATAACATCTTGGTGTCAAATATATTTGTGATACACTAATGGATTATTTGTGATACTCTAATGCAGATACATAGACACCACAGATGAATCCATAGTGGGGTATATATAAGATGGTATCCATACAGAGTGCTATTAATATTGATATTTTAGCTATTGATATAGTTTACCATGATTTATGATAATATAGGCAATTCAGTGGGAAGGTATGAATAAAATATTGTGTTGATTGTATTAATTTATTGATTATTTTCTTCTGATATTGGCAGCCTGGGCCACGAGATGCAACCATTCAATGCTTCATAAAGAGGGATAAAGCAACTCTCACTTATCATCTGTATTTGGGACTTAGCCCTGGTGAGTTGTGAATCCAAACTTATGTGAGGTCATATGCTGAATTGTTCAAGTTCTTAGCACTGTTTCATTAATTGCCTGACAATTGGTATGCAATACAGTACAATTCATGTACATGCATTGCCATGGTACTTGTGTATTTGGATGCCTTTTATGTTTAAGTTATGAACCGGGATATATCTTTCTTTGGTTCCTTTTTCTTTTTCCTCTCTCTTTTTTTGGCAGAAGAAATCTATGTTTCATTGTTGACTGTCTTTTTCGCAAATGGTATTGTTTTTACTTCTTCAAATTTTTGTAGAATGTTTTGTAACGGGGTATTTTCCAGTGTTCCAGTCCAGTTCTGATGAAATATATGTATGTGTGCATGTGGCTATATGTTTTAGATTTTCACTAGGGCCCCTTTAATTATTATTGTCTATTCGGCATTGCCTTAATGTAAGTGCGAAACTTTTCTGAGAAGGGGTAATCGTCATAATTTATGTCTGTAATTATCACTTGCATCTTTTATTTGCAAACATTTGACGGAATCTTCTGTTGTCGTTTTTATTCTACTTAGGAGTTTCTCTCTGCTTCTTTGGCGTAATGTTTCATTTGAAATTTTAGTTCTTTCAACATAGAGTCTTTAAGCAATATTATGGAGGGTAGTCAGTGACCTTTCATTTGTATTTTGTTAATTTACCTCTTGGCTACTTCTTAGTTACTAGGATCTCCCAACTCTGTAGTGATCCCATGATTCCACATTCGCGGACGAGGATTTTGAGTGGATCCTGCTCCCATCCTGGGAGGAAACAATGCCAACCCCTTTGGGATTGGTCAGTATAATTCAAACACTAGATATATCTTTTATAAGGAAACAAGTCTTAAGTGCATACCAATTGGGTTTTCATAAAAACAAATGGGTATCGGTGTATCAAAATTATGTGTCATATATTTTCCAAGGGCAAAATAGATGCTTTATTCCTTGTCTATCTCTTATATTCATGTCAATCTTAAAAGAAAGAAATGTTGATGCAAATCCTTGTGCAGCATATTCTTTTAAGGGGAGAACCAGAAATGATGATCAAATCCTGATTAATTTGTTTGGTGTGGTTTTTTTTTTTGTTTGTGTTTCTGCCTCTGCAAGAGGGGGGGGTAAAGGAGAGATAAAGTCCTAAATGCAATGGTCCCATGATTGCATTAAAGAATGGATGGTGGGTCTAAGTTTGGCAACTTTAGACAAAAACGTCTCTCTCTTATGCTTCAATAGTTATTCTCTTTGTATGTTTTAGTTTCTGCTTTAATTTATAATTTAAGGGAAAGGGAAGAAAAGAGGAGGAACTGTTTTGACTGAAATTTATTATTATCATTTATTAAAACTCACAGCATCCATCAAATGAAAAACTTTGGTATATTATTATGTAGGACTTTATTATGATAAGACTCGAGTAAATATGGGTCTTATAATTTACTTTAGAAAATATATTTGTAAGTAAAGTACATATAACTCCTTGATATGTTATGTTTGCGCATGGGAACTGTTGGTACGAGATGATTGGGCTGCATATTATCAACAAAGGGTTGTGGATTAAGAGTAATGAAAATCTAAATTAGGAATGCATGGCCTTTAGCCATGTTGGCTTGAGACATGGTTTGGTAGTTGGCCTTAACATTGCTTTTGATACTAGATGTCGACTTGAGCATCTTTGAGATATGTTCTTAGAAAAACTCAATTAATATCTCTCTACCTGAATTATGACAAGGTAACAAAGCTGAGGGACTCAGAATAAAGGACTTCACATCTAGGGGCATAATGTACATTTATGGCTTGTTAGGATGTGCTCATTATTATTGATAATCTATTACTTCAATGAAATTAATCATGATAATGAATTCTCTGTTGTTTGCCAGTGTCCCTCATGAAATTATCTAAGATAAACTTATGGACAGTTTTTCATGTAAGGTTATAATTTTGAAAAGCTGTTTTTACTTTATACAAATAATTTGCTGAAAATCACATGTTTTTAGCTGGAAATAACTAAAAATAGTTGAAAATCCCAAAAAAGCTAAAGAATTAAATGATATTATGTATTTCACATGTTATGTTCCAAACAGCTAATAGAATAATATCACACAACATATATTAGTTTTAAATAAGATATGCTACTCTTGATAAGATTAACTGCTATCCAAACAGGCCCTTACTGTATTTGATTAAGAGAGGTGCAGTCTCCATGGATATGAAAGATTGGTGCAGAAGAAAATATCACTAATGATATTGCTAAGTACGAACAGTCTATTTCTACATTCTAGCATGCAAAACTAGATTCCCATAATCAATTTAGTATTTCTCACCTTCAATGTAAACAAAAAAATGAGTGCAGAGTGCCCTATCAAATGGATCACACTAAAAAACATCACCTATACATGGGGTTGCCAATAAAATGATTAATAAGACGGCTGATAAATCAATCATAAGATGCTCCTGCTGACATGTGTTCTTCGCAAATATTTTAAAATTGTCTACTAAAATGATGGAATTATTGCAATAATGTTCCACCCATACTGATCTTCATAACAGGTGCAAATGTCTCCTTGTGACCAAATATTATACTTAAATATATCACTGTGCGCCTATGTCATTAAAAAAAAGATTATTTTAATTTTTTCCAAAAAAAGAAGAATGAAGGCTTATTTTATATGACGAGTTATTTTTTGAATGCTATCTTACTTAAGTTAGCTATTAAAATTTCTACATTCTACTTATAGATTTTTTGCTGCTCGGCATTGAAACAAGTTCCTGCATATGATATTTGCTTCAGTGCATGAACTTCTTGCATGGCATCCGGCCTACACTAGAGTATAAGAAGGCGCACAGAGAATCTTAATAGACAAAGTGTTGGATAAGAAGGTGCTCAGAGAATCTTAGTAGACAAGCCCTCTCATAAGCAACCAGGAAACAAAACTACGTGAAAGATCTGAAGGATATCTCCCAGTTAAAAAATCAGGTTCATTAATTTGAAAGTTGTCTATTGGATCTTGAATCTCAACTGGCTTTAGATAAGGCCAAGAGAAGAACATGAAAGATAATAAGCAGTAGAGCATGTCCAGTCAATTACAAACATGAGAATATATAAAAAACAAAAACACAAGATGTGCTAGTGAAACTGACCTGTCAATATTTGTGCTATCAATCCCAATTTCTCTTATTGCAGAGAATAACTTGTCGAAGTTGCCAAGATCGCTGTCCTTGTCAATAACTTGGTATTAAAAAATATGGTCTTGGATAGTTTCAAAAAAAAAAAAACAAAGGTATTGGATATACAACAGTTAACAGCTTCAAAACAAAAAAAGGTCTTGGATATCTTTTTTATCAGAGAGCATTTCCCCCTGAATTTAGTTTCAATTGCCTATATCTACATTTTACCCCCTCAAAAAGACATCTCTCATCTCTACATATTTGTTCCATACCACCTTTACCTTAGTAGCTTGTCAGAACAATGGCCTTTAAACATCCTCAAACTGAAATAGGCCAAATTTTGTTCCCAATTTATTGAAATTTTACTCTAAATCTAAACTAAGAAAATGGCGAACATATTCTCAGTTTCAGCTGATTTCTGATTTTAGATGGAATTTTCAACTAAAACAAAGTTCAATAACTGAACCAAACAGGTCTCGGTTTTCTACAGTCTCAACACACACTCTTTTATCCTTTTTCTTTGAAAACAAGTTAATATATATATGTGTTTTATAAGATGATTTTTTATACATATAAGATGGGTCAGCCCACAGCTCCGGTGCTTTACACACTCTTTCATAGCAATCTTTCCAGTGAGACTCCACAGAGATTGGAAATTGAGAGAAGGGCGATTTTATTCTTATGTTAGATGAGAGGGTATTTAAATTTCCCATAAAATAATGTCTTGCTGATACTATTTGTGTTTTTGTGTTCAGTTCTGGCTGAAAATGGTAAATTTCTTCTCTCAGCGAAAAGATCCAGGCGAACCACGTGTACAGAGTATGTCATTTCCATGGATGTAGATGCTATAAACAAAACCAGCGGCTCATATGTTGGGAAAATGAGGTAAGGACACCCCGAGAAACATTTTCATATCTAGAGGCAACAAAAAACCTACTCATACTTGACACAGGATAAATACCAACTGTAAAGATGTGACCTGATGTCACAGATAAGGAAAAGGTGGTCTAAAAAGATGACAATAAATATTGAAGGTTTGCATGAAAGTGGTGCAAACAAAGGATAATGAAAACAATCAGATTATATTATGGTGATAGTCTTTCAAAAATTTCCCTTTCATTCTTGCCATTAATTTCCATGAAAATTCAAGTGAAACAACCCTGTGAAGTTGCATTTGATATTGTAAAGCCTGTTTTATAAATATGGTTTGACATCTCATATTCTCTTCTTGTTCTTTATTTTTTTCCTTCTGCAATGACAACAAAGGAAAATGACAGAAACTTAGTATTGTTGCTAGTTTGCTACACAAAATCACAAATATTCCAATAACGAGGTCATGTTTTCAGATTGAAATGGCAAACAACTGAGAGAATCGGAATAACCGTCGGTTGCTTCTGAAATTTACAATTGACACGTAAGCTGGGAACCCTCAAGAAAGAAATCAATATTGGTGCACTGAAATAGAAATTACCCTCTTCTAACCAACATTTGTTTCCTATAGTGAAATGAAAAAGTTGGGGTTTAACTGATAATCCAGCAAGAGGTTTCTATAATTTACAGAACAAAGAAAAAAAATGACATGAGTTTCCTGTTCCATGTAGCTTACAAATGGTGTACTCCTGACTATTATATTTAGTTTACAAGGAACTGTTGAGATGGGTGTTCCTCCACCAAAAGTGGCATTGAGTAGAGGAATGGTCCAAATTAATCGTCCCTTGTCAACAATGAGAAATGCTTGATTTCACGTGGAATTAACTATTCATGAATTAGATTAGGTTAATGCTAAGTCATCATTCCCTGCTCTCCAATATCTCTCAGGTCAAACTTCCTCGGCACCAAGTTCATCGTATATGACACGCAGCCCCCACATGGTCGTGGCCGTGTCTTCTCATCTTCGCCTTCAAGCAAGTTGAGCGGCTTACTCCACAGCAAGAGGTGGACCCACTCTTCCAGGAAGGTCTCACCTAAGGTCATGGGCCCCACACCCCCCTCTGCTGCCAGTGGCAGCTATGAGGTCGCTGAGGTTGTGTATGAACTCAATGTCCTCGGCACTCGCGGGCCCCGCCGCATGCACTGCACGATGCACTCCATCCCTGCCTCTGCCGTCGAACCCGGGGGCTTTGTCCCTTTGGGCCCATGGACCTCACAAGGCTCATCTAGCCCAATGGCCCCGTTCGGTGATTCCTTCTCTGCCCTATCCATCTCCTCCATGGACCACCGCTCCATTGACTTTGGCAGCTCTCGTTTCTCCGAGGTCTCAGGTTTTGGTGGCCCTGATGTGGGCTTTAATGGGTCAGAGGTGGCGACAGATGATACTCAGATGGGCTTGGGTTTTGATGTGGGACTCAAGAAACCTTTAGTGCTTCGTAATAAGACCCCTAGGTGGCATGAACAGCTTCAGTGCTGGTGCTTGAACTTTAGGGGGAGAGTGACCGTGGCATCAGTGAAGAATTTCCAGCTGATTGCGGCAACAGATGCGGTACCTACTGGAGGGCTGGGGCCGGTGCAGCCAATAGCGGTGGGATCCACGATGGGCACGACAGGCCCACTGCCAGTCCAGCCCCCAAATGAGCAAGAGAGGATCACATTGCAGTTTGGAAAGGTGGGGAAGGATTTGTTCACCATGGATTATAGGTATCCACTCTCTGCTTTCCAGGCATTTGCGATATGCTTGAGCAGCTTCGATACCAAGCTGGCTTGTGAATAAATCGTTGGGTAGTTGATTAATTAGTTGAATTAGAAGGTTGGGTTAGTTGGTTCTTTTCTGCTCTGATTTTGCGTTTGATGTTGTCGTTGGGTAAAAGAGGAAGGAGGAGAATTTTGGTGTTGTAAGTAAAACATAGGTGAAGTCGCAATAAGCAACGTGTGAAATGCCGGAGAAGGTTTTCTTTTGCAAAAATTTTCTTTCGATGTTTCGTAAATGTATTTGTTGCGCCGGACGCTATATGGTTCTAGATCTTCTTTTTTATGTGATTATTGAGGAGTATAGAAGCAAGAAGTGAACTGAATGGCAGTTCTGGAATTTGTTTTGGCTGGAGTGCCTCTGGGAATTACGGAGCTTTTTTTTTTTAGGTTCTTGCTTCAGAATTGCTATCGGCCCTGAAAGGATTGGCAGCTTAATTTCATGGAGACAGTCTTCAATTTATATTGTATTATATTTATTTGGCTGGAAACCTCCTTGCACTATTGCTTACTGTTGCTGGTTGTATGCGTTTTTCCTCTTTTTCTTATGTTTTTATTTGGGAACGGTTCAGGTTGACTTGCTACTAGCATAATAGTGGGTTAGGTTGGGTTCCAAATGACCTGGAGCTCACTTGGGGCAATATTGAGATTGGTTCCATCCATGAGCTTACCAGGTTGGTTTGGGTTGAAGTTAGGGTCCACCCTACCCAACCAAACGTGATTTTTATGTATAACATATATTGTATATTCTAGATAATATGTGCATTATAAATAAAATATATTTTTCTTTTATCTATACTTGGACTTAACTCGGTGGAGTGGGTCTATCCAACCAAAACTGATTTTTATGTATAACATATATATATATATTCTAGATAATATGTATATTATAAATAAGATATATTTTTCTTTTATCTAGGCTCGGACCTAATTTGGTGGAGTGAAATCACCTTGTGTTTTTCGTTGGAAATATAGCGTGTCACTTGCCACGTGCGAACAACTTGTATGCACTTAACGCGCTAGCCAGCACGGGGCAATATGCTCAATTCTTAGTATCCATCGTTTACGGTTGGGACTATTGGGGTATTTCATTTGCTCCTTTAGCTTTCCCAGCAGAATGCTTTCGTCGTCATCGTTCTTTTCGATCCCTATGCACTTTACTTCGCCATCGTCATCGTTCTTTTCGATCCCTATGCACTTTACTTCGCCATCAGAAATATGCACTTTACTTCGCCATCGGAAATTTTCTCTGCCCCTACTATCATCATAATAAATTTAGGAATTATGTACAATGAGATCATTTATTTTTGATATAAGGTTATCACAATTACTTCCTACCATTTTATGTTAATTTGGGAAAATTATAAAAGGTGTGGTTTGTATAGGGCCAAGGCTCTAAACAATCAAATTAGAGCCTACCTTCAAATAGTATTGAGAAATGTGGTTTCAATATTGAAATTCGCCTTAAAATATATTTTCATCTCTATTTATAAAGTTTAAAGCTTCAAAAATAGTGTAGATCTAGCTGATATATGAAAACTTGAACATCTTGAAAATTGACGGTTAAAACATACATTACAAAATCCATTATTTTCAAAACTTGAAATCCATTTTTTTCTCAGGTCTATGCATCTTAATGTCGAGATGGTCAATTTGAAGATATTTGAGCATTTAAACAACATTTTCAAGTGAAATTTTGGAGGTAGGTTCTAATTTGATTGTTTAGACCCTATGCTTTATGTAAACTTTTTTCAATTATAATATACCTTCAAATTCAACTTTCTAGGCATCCTACCCTTCAAAATTTTTTGTATCTCACTTTAAATCTCAATGCTATTTTCATTTATATCTACCCCCAATAAAAAAGTTAATAATTTAAAATTTTTTGTATCTCACTTTAAATCTATATACTATTTTCATTTATATCTACCCCCAATAAAAAAGTTAATAATTTAAGACAAAAATGCCTTACTTTATCTCTTCTCCCTTTTTGGAATCATGTGACTCTCTCTCTACCCACACACTCTCTCTTCCAAAGTAAAAACCTATATCCTCTATTTCTTTCTCTCTCTCTCTAGAAACCCATATCTTCTTTCCCTCTCTCTCTCGTAATGTGGTCTGACACATAAAGTGCTGGACCGAAATTTTTTACGATTCAACACAAAAAAGTGCTAGACCGCAAAAAAAATTGGGTCTGGCACTTAACTCAAATCTACCTGGTCCAGCACACGAGGTGTCGGACCACATTACAAGTCACGTTGCTGAAACAAAGTGTGTCAGACAGCATTACGAGCCACTTTTTTGTGCCGGACCACTAAAAAAATTGGTCCAGCACCCTATGTGCCAGACCGCATTACCGCGAGAGAAAGAAAAAGAGAGAGAGAGAGAGAGAATAGGCTTTTCCTTTGGGAAGAAAGAGTCACATGACTCCAAATAGAGGATATTAAAATAAGGGTATTCTTCTCTTAAACCCATTTACTTTTTTATTTGAGGGATAAATATAAAAAAAATAGTATTGAAATTTAGAGTGAGATACTAAAAGTTTTGAGAAGTAAAATGTCTAGAACGTTGAATTTGAAGATATCTATAATTTTCCCATGTAAATTTGATAGTTGGGGTGTGGTACAAAGTTCGAAAACTTTAGTTTTTTGAAATTTGAGCTTGATTGATGGAATAAACATAACACCCAATTTCACATTCTATAGTCAAGATTAATTGTGACTATCTTCTACCAAAAATAAATGGTCTCATTTTATACTTTTTCATAACTTTACTAGTGCTTCCATGCAAGTTATGGATACTCATCATATGGAATCTGTGTCTAGAAAACCGCAGAGGTAGATAGAATTAGTCCCCCACCGGATTTGAATCAAGTTGCCCAACCCGACGAGTTGGATTGGTAATCCATGAAATAAATTTAAAAAAAATAAAAGAAAGAAAAAATGAAGAAAGATAAATAAGAAGATGATGAAAATGACAAAAAGAAAAAGAAAACGTCTTAAAAACGATAAATCAAGATGAAAATTAAAAATTATTGTAAAAAACAGATGAAAATAAAAAATTAACCTAAAAAATGAATTTAATTCAAAACATTATAGTTTTGTATGAATAAAATATACACTAAAATGAAATGTATGAATAAAATATACACTAAAATGAAAAAGAAACCAATCTTTAATTTTTTTATTTAAGGAGTTAAACCAAAGGAGAATACCAAAAGGAAGGAAAAATTATTTCTAAAATGCCCCTTATTTTGTGTTGGAGACTTCTTATTTTGGGGGGTCTTTACTTGTCCTAAAAATACCGCGTTTAGAATTTCAAGTTTTGAATTAATTTTTTCTATTGAGAGATTCATTTGGAATTTTAGGGTTCGAACAAATTTTTTTTTGTAAGTAAACCAGCTCGGAACTTGAAGTTCTGAACCGCTCAAACACAAAAACAAGTCAAGTCAATTCGTTTCGTTGTTCAAGTTTCAAGCCGGCTCATTTGTTCATTTTTTTTTAGAGTGGAATGGTTTAGAACTCTATGTTTTTTTTGGGAGAGGGGGGTGAGTCAGGGGGAGAGGGCCTCTACCCTTGTAAGAATTGATCTTAAGACACAAGGTTGCAAATCATCAAGCACGAACCAATTAAGTCTTGACTCTTTTCCTAAGTGGTTTAGAACTTGAAATTCCGAATGCTCTTTTACAAAACTTATCTAGCTAACTTATCTTTTTCATAGAGCGAAGATTGGGTTGGAACTTGAAGGTGTGAACCGGTCTCTTGGGCCAAAAACAACACAAAAAGTACCTTTACTTGGGACTTGGAGTTTCGAGGTATTTTGGAAAAACAATAAAACACAAGAAAAAAGGGCATGGGAGTAAAATATAGAGGATAATTGTTTGGTGCGTCCAAGTCCCTGTTATTATATGAGTTTGGAGATATACGCCATCCATGATAAATAATATTCTTACAAAGAACAAGTAAAATCAACGGTTCAAATATTTTCTCCAAAAAATATCATTTCTAATTTTAAAAATTTATTTATGTTTAGAAATTTATGATCTACAAGGTAAAGATATATATTCTTTAAAAATTAGAATTAAATTCTATTTCAAAAATAAATTATTAAAGTGCCAGCATTTTATGTGGACACATAAAAACCGTGTCGAGATATAAAATATGGTGAATATCTATATTACATTATCATACAGATAAGAGGTAGACATGTGTAAAGGGAGACCCTCTACCTAGAGAGGACATAGGGCATGTGATTTTCAAAAGGAGTTTAAGGCATGCAGCTCAATGGATTCCCCTCTTCTTAGGATATTGAGATTTTAGAAGAGATATGACACTTATCTTAGGGACGAGAATCCTGACAAAAGTAAATTTGGAACCACCCCCCTATATCCAAGGATTTAGGGTAAATCGTAAAATATTTTTTTTGAAAATAAAGAAAGTTAAGTTTTTAATTTAGGAATTAGGTTAAATCATATTAGTTTAGGATTTAGGGTAAATCATAAAATAAATTTTTTGAAAATAAAAATTTAAGTTTTTTGTGACTGCTATGGGGGTAGGATAGATTTAGAATTTAGGGTAAATCGTAAAATAATTTTTTGAAAATAAAAAAAAGTAAGTTTTAGGTTTAGGATTTAGGGTAAGTTTTTGGTGACAGCTATGGGGGTAGGATAGATTTAGGATTTAGGTTAAATTGTAAAATAATTTTCTGTAAATAAAAAAAATTAAGTTTTAAATTTAGGATTTAGGGTAAATTGTAAAATAAATTTTTAATTTAGGATTTAGGTAAATCGTAAAATAATTTTTTTAAGTTTTAAATTTAGGATTTAGGGTAAATCGTAAAATAAATTTTTTAATTTTCAAAAAATTCAGCCTTAATATGACAGCTGTGGGATTTGAACCCACGCCCTTTCGGACCAGAGCCTAAATCTGGCGCCTTAGACCACTCGGCCAAACTGTCTAATTCAGATGTGCTTTAGAGAAAAATGTTCTATACATTGAGTTTCTAAATTATTTACAGTATTAACATACTCTTTCATCTCCTCCTAAATTTACTCTGACTCTGCTTCTTAGATGTGATCAAACATATACTAATTTTTTAAATTTAGCACTTAATTAAATCATGGGATGAATACGTAGTCTCATCATATTTGTATATCCTCATTTAATATAATAATGATGCCATTACTTTGCGATACCACTATTTCCTAATACCGAGGTCACATGTCAAGAGATATAAAGATGGCATAATACCAAATCTCTTACGAGGTAATTCTTTTTTATTTTGAAAAAGGTTTCTATGCTTTTCTTACAACATAAGAGTTCTATCCTCCTCTTATTATTCAGCCATCTAATTTTGATCAAGAGAGCCACTTATCGTTTGATCTTAGATCTGATATCTCAAAGTATTTTGTTTTTAGTTTTTTTTCTACAAATTGTATGAATATGAAATTTGGTACGTGCCATATTATCATTGGGGTGCACCTAT